TTTCGGGTCACAAGTAATGTGCTGGTACGTCATCTTCTTATCGCCAATCAAGTCGTATTTGCCGAAGTGTGTGCCTGAAATGAAAGAGGTCAGGCTTAGTTTGGGCTTGGCGCTGGCTTGGCGCAGACTTGGCTTAGGTTTAGCTTTGGCTGGACTATCTGGATAAGAATAGAGGCATTCCGCTACATACCTTTGTTTAACCAGCACGTCTTCGTCGAAGCCGAGTACTGCAGAGAGAGGCACCGGGTGAAAAAGCGGTCTCGTTTTTCCAAGTGGCAGCGCAAAGGCATCTAGATTTTCATAGCTCTTTTACACTACGAATTGAGCAAAAACGAGCCGCATAGAATGCCACTTACCGACACTCATTAATCGAGGCTGGAGAGATCTTCTGAAAATCCGCGTCCAGCAAATAGCTTTCCGGGCTTGTCGTGAAGCAGACTTTGCCTTTGGCTAAAAATAAGGTATATTATCGTTGTACCAGCGGGGAGGAGCCGCTTCGCGACTCTCCCCCGCTGGACCCCGTCTAGGCCCTATGAATCGAGCACCCTTCCACATACAGTTACCCTGAAGAAAGAAAAACCCATCTCCCATGCAAAGCTCTTTGTATTGGCATGCGGCGCAAGATTGAACTGTTAGTCTCGTTATTAGGCCTGCGGCGCATGTTTGATCGGCTAGGTCGCTACCTCATCCTGCGGCCCAAGCTTGAGGGATTAGCCTCCTTTTTTGGCCTTTGGCGCCAGCTTGAGCGGCCAGCTTCGTTCTAAAGCCTGCGGCGCTAGCTTGAGCGGCTGGTTTCGTTATAAAGCCTGCGGCGCTAGCTTCCCCGGCTAACTTCCTTACGAAGCCTGCGACGCTAGTTTCAGGGGCCGGCCTGAAACGTTTGCCTGCGGCGCTAGTTTCGGCGGCTAGCGTCGTTCTAAAGTCTGCGGCGCTAGCTTGAGCAGTTAGCTTGATTCCTTGGTCTGCAGCGCATGCTTGAGCGGGTAGCTTCATTCTATAGGCTGCGGCTTGAGTGACTAACTTCATAATAACGTCCCTACACGGAAATCTATTCCGAAACGCGCTTTCCGAGCAAAAAGCAAAACAACTACGACATCCGAGGATCGAACCTCCGATGGTTGGATTAGCACGGCGAAGCGCTAACCACTACACCATGCAATGCTTGGTAGCACGCGCCAAACACCCGTTTTATGCCTCAAGAGGACTGCCCGGGGCAGGGAAGGAAATGCATCGTGAGGCAGATCCAAAGAGACGACCAAACTCGCGAGTGCAACTGGCAAGAATGAGGAAATTTGTATTTTTTCACATTATGCAAATTAGCCCTCCTGACTCCCAAAAATCAATAAACCGGCTTCTTTAACTTTGTTAACTTGTATTTAATCGGGATTCTGAAAGCGCCATCGGAAAGAGGAGGGTCGATTCTGGTGACGGAGAATTAAGGCAGATATTTTATGCAATGGAAGGTTCCTCAATTCCGGCCTCGAAAGTGACGGTCCCGGACACACACACACAGACAAAGATACGCGATCAAATTATATAAGGTAGGATGTTTGGTTTAATCAATATTTAGGGTTTACCAGAACCATAAGCCATCTTGAAAGACGCATGTGAGAGTCTTAAAAAGCAGCAATTTTGTACTCACCTGGATGTTGAGGAGGAGCATCATTTTGTAGATTGGCGGTTTGAGAGTCGACCGGGCTGTGTGATACCTTAAAATACATTTTGTGGGGTCTGAAGCTGCTTTACTTACCGGCTTCCCGTCATTCGGCTCTCCGGTGATGATCTTGATTTGCATCTTTGGAGCATCGTAGGTTCCTCCAACCGTTACAAGCTTTGGGTGACGCGCAAGATCTGTATTAATCAAAATGTGCCTCATTTCTGACATTAAAATGAGGTGTCTGGGGCTTAAAGTGGCTTTAAAGTGACTGGGAAGCCCCAGAATCGATCCGATGCGTTAATTTGTTCTTGGCAGCAACATAAAATTGCGTCACAGTACCAACTCCACTACGACACGGATCGACGCAAGGCTCCAAATGCGTTTGCAAGCGTATATGGGTATATGGTGTCTGATACGTAGCTGTTTTACCCAGGTCGATCGTCTTGCTTCTCAGTCCCTGTAAAATCGATCGTAAACACCACACATCTATACTCGTGACAATTCCTGAAGCGCGTTACCCGCACCAAATGGCCCTGTGGCTTCGAAATCGTCGAGGTATCGCTGCGTACTCACTCTGAAATTTGGATTCTTCTGGCTTTCCAGTTAGCACCTACCGACAATCCACCTGTTGAGCATAGGAAATAGCACAACTCCTTGCAAAAGAGTTGTACACGGCTGTTCGACAGAACTTCCGATTGGCGCAAAACTGGGCGCAATCAAATGGGGAGCGGATTTCGAGTCTGAAAACTAGAGAATATGATCGCATTTGTCTTGGAGGAATCAGGTCTGGGCGTTTAATCGCTTACGCGGTGAAATAAAATGAGACATCAGCCGCCCGTTCGACCGAAATATCTTCTGCATAGTAGTCGGAGACGCATTCCGCTGAAAATAACCTCGTGAAATGCTATGCAAAACCAAGGTATTAACGTTTTCAATTATTTTTGCGCATTTTCAGATTCTTATCGGTCCCTTAAAACGCAAAACCCACCTGAAACCGTTGTTCTCAATAGCAAAAATATAAATGTGGCCCCGTAGGCGGCCCACCAAGGGGATGGCGGGTCCCGCATGGACACGGGTAATGGTCGTTCGACGATGGGAGAGGGGGTGGGCCTGAAAAATGGTGGATGAAAATTTGTAGGAAAATAACCTAAAAAAGCAGAAATAACGGAGAAAAGTTCAATATAATATGTCAATAAAACAACAGGTTCCGTGAATTCCTGACCCTACGCAATGAAGCGCATTTTTACCGCATCTGGTCGAGACGAATCGCTTTGAAAATTACCTTTTGGCAATGTGGACTTGAAAAACGTCTTTAGAAGCCGTATCAAAGACAGATATGCTAAAGTAACAACGAAATAGGGCTTTTTACACACAAGATAAGTTTGAAAATCGCAAAATACACTTTTTAAATAAAATTAATAAATTGCCAGGTTTGAAAATAGCAAAACTCATAGAACTTTTAAGGAGAAGCCAAATCAACGACGAATCCTTGTGAATCATACCTAATATAAAAAGTTACGAAACTCTGGAGCAAACCCGATCGAATCTCTAAAAGTGAAACCAGGATTTGAGAGACCAAGCAGAAATCCCGACTCGAGAAAGTCGGCTATTCAAGGAAGCTATCGACAAAAAAAAACAGGTGAAAACGACATCATCGAGAACTCTTTCCGGCCCGAACAAGTGGCTAACAGTTTCCCTTCCCTCTCTCTATCGATATAAAAGACTAAACCGGTCACTTTCCTTATCGACCCCCTCCTAGAAAAAGCCTTGTCCGTAAGCGTGGCTATTCGAGGGGACACCCTCCTATCTAGCCAGCGAAATGCACCCATTCAAATCTGGGGATGTGAAAAGCCTCAATGACCCCTCGCATCGGCTCCATCGGGGTTTTTGGAAGTGGGATGGACTTGGATGGGAGGACAAGACGACAAGCACAAGCCTGGGAACTGTTCTTCGGATGATAAAAGCCGTGGGAAGCTGCTGCTGATGCTGGAGAGGAAGAGAAGATGGATTTTGGAATTTTGTGCTTTGTTGAAGGAAGTCAATAAAGGTATGGAAAAGAGCCTCGGCAGACGTCTAAAAAGTGCAAATTGATCTTTTCAACGTTAAGAGATACCGTGGACTGGTTATCTTAAATATACCCAGAAGATAAAACCGACCGTAAGAAATTTCAAACCAAGGTTAGAACGAGATCAGAAAGGTATATAAACGCTCGCATTATGTAGCACTCGGAAACATTTACATAGCCCAAACGACGCGTTTATCGTACCTTCAAGGCTACAAGTACTTTGTGCTACAAACAACGGCACCTTAAGTCACCTTAATTCGAAACGACACTCTATCAGCAAATCTTGCAAAGTTTAGCGAACCTTCTATCCCCTTGACTGAACATCAGGCCAGTCGAAGGTGCATGCATTTGACCATCGAGGCAGCCAAATCCAGATCTTTTGCAACACTCGGCTTTGTTAAGGCGAGTCCTTGGATGGTTGGCTGCTCGAGGGCAGAGCGCCGATTTTGCACCACCGCTAATTCAATTTGCCGGCAGAAAGCCTCGGTACAAAAAGTGCCTGGCTCAAATTGGGATCTCTGTCCTTTAAGATTTGGTTAAAATGTTTAGCGCTAGGGGGTTCCTAGCAGAGATGCTTGGGGAACTACCTAGCAATAAGTGAAAATTGGATTTTTCGTTTTGTTAGCCCTAATTGATGGAGATATATGGAAGAGCAAGCTAGCAGAGTTTCTTGAGGAAATCAGAGTTGTATAAGAAAAGCAAAAATTATCTGAACCCCGCTGTCAACAAATCCGTGAAAAATCGCCCAAACACGGTCGTGAGGATCTGACTGCCATCCACCCCCGCCAAACCATGACCAATCCACACAAAACATTTGGAATTTCGGTTTTCAGCGCTCTCCAAGGAGACTGCCGGATGGCAGAGTGGGTGTCGTCAATTCTATCTGGGAGCAGGATCGCGGACGCCCCCCAAGGAACGGCGCTCGACTTCTCACTTTTTTCTGATGGTCTTTGGATGAAGGGGAAAATAGAGAAAATCGTTAAACCACGGTTTATTCGGAAATTCCCAGAGCGCTTGAAATTAATGACTACAAAATTATGGTAGGGAAAATTTCAGGCATACTGTCGAAACCGAGTTTATGCCTATTAAGAGACTCCGCTTTCTGAAACTGGCAAATATAAAAACACCTCCAAGACCTAAAAATTGGGGCGTGATAGCCTGCTAGATTTCCCTCTCATCATCGCGCGCTCCCCTCCCGTTTTCCCCCGTCCCATAACGAGGCTCTCATTTTTTAGGGACAGGTTTCGAGGGATTGACGCGACCTCGAGTCCCTATCGAAGCTGATAGAAAGATAGAAAGATAGATAGATAGAAAGATACTAGAGCTAGAGGCAAGTGAGACTGACACTTACTCCCTGCCTACATAAAGATTTCCGAAAACCAAAAAAGCAAACTTGGTATCAGCGAAAAAGAGGAAATATTGTGAACAAATTACAAAGGCTAGAAATCAACTAACATCAAGCCTCTATGGTAAAAAAATCTACGTATCAAAATCAACTTTTAAAATAATATGAAGCGTGCTACAGTATAATCAAATTTTTGTTTAGACAAAAAAATTCCGTGGCACGGAGAAAATGCGAAAATGACGCCATCTCAGCCGCTTACGCTTAAAGCCCAAGATCCAAATCTTTAGGATCTGTGCGATGCCGCCACTTTTGAAACGGCAGCAGGAACATGAAAGTGCACATGCTTGAGATCGCTTGTCCCAAAAAGCAAGGGCGCCTGGGAAGTCATGAATTGGCGCCGCAAACGGCGCGGCCTATGGGGATTTTTCCGGGTTTTTTCCGGTTTTTCGAAAGCTCAGTAAAAGTTTTTCGGAGCGCATTGAAGGAAATCCTTAAAACTAGGAAACTGACCTAACGAAGGCCGGAACATAGCAATAACAGGTGTTATCCAGCCAAGCAAAATTAGCGTGTATAAATTTCGGCACCCTAGCTGAAGAAGAGCTAAAAACGCTAAAGAACCGAGGAACAATCGGAAAAATCAAGCAAGCACGCCTGCTATTGAGTGGTTATTACCCTCTAACCCTAGGGCTATGAACCCCCAGAGGGCAGGTAGGTGAAGAGGGGGTGAACGGTCATTCTCCCGCAAGGGCGGAGGGCAGGTTGATCTTGACCGGTCCGTCATGAGGAACCTTGTGGAAAGAGAGGAGAAGGAGGGTTCCAAGAATCGGAGTTGGAGCTTTTACAGAGCTTGCAAAAACATGGAAACGACGTTCAAAGGAAAATACGGATTCTAGCCAATTTCACTAAATTCGAATTTGCTGAGGGCGATGACGACGAACCGTAAAACAGGACTTTCATGAAAAGGGTGTCGTAAAATGGCAAAAAGTAGAAAGGCGATGGGTCTTATCCGTTCAGTCAAGTGTCGCTAACTTTTCCTGGCACTGTCCCTTTAAAAGTCGAAAATGTGATCAGTCGAGTATGGAATAGCTAAAGCTAGCAAAATTCTTTGAGGAACTACGCCGTCAGGTAGAACATGATAAAAAGAAATCCAAACCCGCCAAGTTCCTCCTCCCGGAAATATCCGCCCCAATACCAATCACTAATGGCAGGATATTGCCTTCCCCAGACGTGACGGAGGGGATAATCAATTTGCTGATAATTCCTCCATGAGGCAAGCCAGGCCGCGTTGGCATCCAATAAACGGGTTGATGACGAGAGGGCGCCCCTCCGAGCCGCTGTTCTTCAGGGAAAGCCGCAGGGGATTGGGGATTTCACTTGATGCAAATTAATCGCATTTCAAGGTCAAAAAGTGAAGCCGGAGGGTTGGCAAATGAGGGGTGTACTCGGAAAATCAGTCGGAACGACATGGTTATGGATTTTCGTGGCTATGGATTCTCATACAGGGTGTCCGAAAAAAACCCCCTCAAAATTTTGAGCCAGAGGCTACCCACGGAGCTGAAAATTTGCACAGAGGTAGCGGAGATTTAATATGGGGACCATGGCAATTTGTATCAAAAATATGCGTGATTGTTGCATTTAAGAGCGGATTTTGCATATTTTTTTGCTGAATAATTCCATTTTCTTGTTGGAGCAAGGCGCGAACGATTGCTCATGCAGCGCGAAAATGATCAGCAGGACCGCTGAGTAATAGATACCTTATCTGAAACTACCGTTCAACGCCTGAACTTCGCTTAAACTTCGGCGTCCGCT